GTGGAGACAGAATGGAAGGTGGGAAGTGTCCCCAAAAATTCCAATTAATTTTTTTAAAGGGTTTATTTGCTTTCCATTGATCACCAACTGGTTTCCCTCTACAATAAGTTGCTCATCAAAATGGCCTAGGAGATAATCAAATAAAAACTAGTAACCTAGAAAATTATTTACTTGTACCTTAATTGATGTCAATACAAGGGTGTTTATACTCATGGCTCTTGCAAATCTAACAAGGTTGAAATAATAGGCATTAAATACAGACAGTGTAAAATGTGTTACTTATGAATTTAAGAATATTGTTTACAGTTCTGGGCTGTTTCTTTCAATCTAGTTCAGTCTTTTAGCCAGATGGGTGTCCAGGCGTCCTGTGGACGGCCACTTTTCAAAGAAAATTGTTTAATTTTTCATATGTTGCCTTATAGCTTGTTCATTTGAGCAGACCCTATAGCATCTTTTGGACACCCACTTTTCAAATTCTGGCTAAAAGCAGGCTAACAGCCTGATCTAGTTTAATAAGTTTTACATTTAAAATTGGCATGACCATGGAAATAAATAGAGCCAATTATTAAATTCACTTATACATATTAAATTAATATTAAATCTTACAACTTTTTAATCGAATGAAGTAGTTCTCTAGACTATACCCTTAGCTACTATACCCAAAATCACAGAGCTTGACTACTCCTCCCTTTCCAAGGAGAATGTTTTGTGGTTTCATGTCTCTATGAAGAATCCTGTGAGAGTGCAGATAGTACAAGGCCTTGACAAGTTGGCAGGCAATCTTTCTGACCTGAAAATTCCAAAGATAAGAAAGTCATTAAGGATTTGCCAACAGTGGTCAGAGGAAAACAATAATTACATGTAAATTGTACATGTCTTTAAAACAATGTTACAGAAGTCCACAGTACAGTCACAGTGTCCTAACGGTTGATGCAGGGGCCTCAAGTCTATGTTTAAGTGTTAGCTAGAGCTACTGTGTAGTGTTATAGGGAATGATCTTTGACTTTCAAGGTGCCTCTCCTCACTCAAGACTAAAATGTGTTTCTCAGTGACCAGAAAATTGTCAGTGATGCCTTTAGAATTACCTGCTACAGACCTAGGAGAGCACTATTATTTCTAATTGTGTAACACTGTACTGTGGGTCTACAGTAAGTGGGTGTTTTTCGCCTGCACCCAAGGTAGTCATACTGTAGATACTGAGTTGTGTCGGCCTAAAAGGCCATCTGTAGGACACTTATAGACTGAGCGAGAACAGATACCACGGTATACATGTACAAACCATAAGTATTTATTTTAAAAAGACAACTCTGTTACCTGCTGCTCTGGAAGAGAACCATCATCTTCTAATACCTGGAATAATTCTCCTTCAGCGTACTCTGTTACAACACAAACCTGTTTCAAAAGAAACAAACTATGTGTTGAAGAATTTCAATAAATTATGACAAATGATAAATAATTTTATTGAGAGCATGAGTAGCTACGGAAGCATCTTGGCCTTCAATAAAGGCGACATAAATTAACAGCAACTTGTCATCACTTATTAATTGAAGGGCCCTTTGTTAATTTCACTGTCTTACAACAAGACAGAGAAATTAACAATGGGCGTGGGATTATGGATCAAGCAGTCAAGGTTTGAACCCTGGCTGAGGACACAGTGTTGTGTTCTTGGGCAAGACACTATGCTCTCACAGTACCTCTCTCCACCCAGGTGTATAAATGAGTGCCCGGGGATAACCCTGCAATGGACTAGCATCCTTTCCAGGGGGGAGTAGAAATACCCCTAGTCACTTCATGTTGAATAGAAACCAAAGGTAACTGCCAGCCTAAAGGGCCACTTGACTTGTACGCAGACTTTAACCTTTAATCATCATATATTGTGGACCTCAAAATTATATAACAGACCTCTTTAGGTGTTTCAAAGGAGTCCAGTAATTTGATGATGTTTTCATGCTCTAGGTTCCTCATGATGTCAATTTCCCTCTGCAAATTCTTTAGCTCTTTTTCAGATCTGCCAACTTTAGGAATGAATTTTAATGCCACAACCTAAAAAAAATTAATGTGATTCAAATGAAAAATTTTAAAATTATTGAGCCCAAAATGTAAAATCTTTGTTATCTCCTGTATGGTTACACTGTACATGGGTCACTGTGTACATGCATAATAATCTTAAAGGATTCAGTGCACTGGTGTACAGCTAGTGTAGTCTTTGGAATATATATGTAACAGGTGTGATAAAGGCAATGCATGAGGCATGCTGGCCTGTCAGATCTGCCGATAGACCTTGACTACTGGTTGGCATGGCAATTGTTTTTTACTTTTATCTCCTAATTAGGAACTATGGAATAGTTAGAATACATCCGTGAAGTCAAATTTAATGTAGAATACTGTAACTATTGTGGAACTAGCTTTACGCAAAACGCCATTTGGTATATGGAATACTTGCTGGAAGTGAAATTACAGAGAGTATAAGTTGATAGCATTAATTTTTTACGATCAATGCAGCCCTGTAGCTGGAACACACACACACTTGGCAGATCTATACAAATGATCGCCTTTCATTGAATTAGCAAAACCAAATTGGTATCGCCATGTTATGCATGAGGTATTTGACATTGAAATTCATGGACCTGATCTTAAGCTATTGCGTCAACGATCAAACCACCTTTTTGCTGTCAAACTTTGAAACCTTCAACAGATCAACGTTAGCTTACCTGCCCACTGTATTTCTTTCTACCTTTGTACACTTTTCCAAACGAACCCTCTCCGATTAGCTGCAAAATGTGATAACGCTCCATTTTCTAAACAAAAATAGAACCTCAATCTATTTCCCTGAGCTTTTTCGTGATATTAAGACTGGAAAATCGCACTTAATTTCGTAGTCAAACATCGCCGCCATTTTGAATGAAAAACTCTGAGGAACTGGAAACGAGGTTGTCCGTGAAAGCAGGGGTAAGGGAGGGGACGGTAGGTCAATGTACTTTTGAAACTGTTTTGTAACTACTAGTTTGTTTACAAGCCATACTTCCATTAATAGTATCAAGCTGTAAATACCACGGCTAAGTATCTAACAAGGAGAAAAATGAAGAAAGCAGTTTTAATATGCTAGACCATCTGCCATATGTGAACAGCAAACACAGCTGTCAAAACCTTCTCATCCTCCAATTCCGCCCCCCCCCCCACCCTGTTCACTGTTCAGAGTTTTGTATTCTTTTTGACCAATCAATGGTAAATGGTAGGTTGTTGGAAGGTGTGATAAGTAAATCACTTCACTCAACAGCAGACTTCAAAGGAAAGAAAGGTTTTCCACCTCACATTAACCACAGGTAGACCACTTTATGTGTTCGTGGTTAATTATTAACCATAAACACATAGAGTGGTCTGCCTGCAGTTAATGTGAGGTGGAAAGCCTTTCTTTCCTTTGGAGTCTGCTGTTGAAACAGTGAAAGCCAAACACTGATCACTCAATAGTGTGGGTGGGTGGGGAGAAGGGTTACTTTGCGTGCCAATATGAATACGATTCTTAGTTTATGCCTGACAAATTACATTCAAATGACTTTGAATAGCCAAGCATTCCAGTTCTCCCATCCTTTGTCATTTACTGCATCTTACGTTGTTTTGATACGTATAAAATTTTCATTGCCATGAGCATGGGACAAAGAAAAAATCGGAGTCCCCAACAGTATTCGCAACCATCACCCCCCACACGCCGGCTGGACATTCTAACCACTGAGCTACCAAGACTATAGGTGAGCTAAGCCATTCACCAGGTTCACATATGAGAACCATCCTGCATACTGCTAAGATTGGCATGCCAAAAGCTTCATGCTTGTGAAATAATGAAAGATGGTAAATTTTCAGCTCAGTGAATAAATTATAAAGGTAAAATTTTGTTTCATTACATTGTTTTGACAGCAAAAATGGAACTTCAGGCTGATTTGTACAAAACTTCATGGCGTGTTACAACACTATACTCAGAAATCACACTGTCAACAGTTTTATTTCTCAAGCTTCACAAGTTACACAGCACAGTTAAATCTAAAATGCATAACAGATATTGGTGAAAAAGGCAAATACACACAAAAATTTTGGACCTTTTCGACAAATACTATTACTTTTGCTGAAAAGTTAATCACAACATTTTCAGAACATCCTTTTCTAGGAGATAACATGTCTGAGAAGAACTGATAAAATAATAAATGTACGCAGTGAACTTATCAAGAAGTAAAAATTCTGTTACAATGAACACAAGGTTTTTCAATGCTCATCGAAAAGCAAATTCTCCCCATTGAAAAAATCAAACACTTTTTAAAGGACAATGGGAGGAATTTAAATGACATCCTAGGCTATGATTATTACTTATCACTTACAGCTGCATAAAAATTGATACAAATCATAATGTTGATATGTTTCAAACTATAGACTACAGAAGAAAAACATTAATTAACTTTAAATTTAAAAACAACTCAGGAGCATCAACATGACAAGTTCAAAGCCGCTCATCTGTGAGCAAAAGCATTTCTTCACAGTGATGTAGAATTCCTCAGCTCTGGGAAAATCTGCAATTTAACAATACAGACCTTGTGAGCATGGTCTAAAGGCAAAAAGCAATAAATACATGTATGTAGTCCATAAGAATATAGCATGCATGATACATTAAAAAAAAGTTTAGACTCATAATTAATGATAGAAACACTGAAAGCAGATAACCACACATCAACCTCAAGTAGAAAAATTCCATTTTTGAAGTTTTGCAAAGGTCACTTTTGTAATAATATTACTATCACATGTACTTTATGAAATTGCTTTCTGAAATAATTAAGTTAGTTGATCGCTTGTAGAAAATGAGGGCCAGCAGTCTCGTAAAAATATTATTACAATTCATTACAATTTTATCTGTTAACTTAACAGAGTACTTACTGCATTTGTAAGTGAAGCAGTGAAGTGCTTACTTGAATCCTCCAATCTCAAAGAATGAAAAATTAATTTAAAAGTTTAAGGAAGACTTGTAGTTGTGTTACAATACCTTGTTGGTGACAAGTCGCTTAGAAACGCCGTGGGCTACGAGATCGGCTTCGTCCCCCTCTTGACTGCCACCTTCAGAAAAAAAAATACACATAAGGTAAGAGAAAATGTCAACAGTCAATATTACATTTTGAAAATTCTTCTGCATCATACATTTAATTATCAATGCACTACATCTGGTGAAATGAAAAAGAGAGTAGCTCTGAACTCTTGTAGCAAAATATTGTTACACTGTAATTACCTGTAATCAAACTGGCTGCACAATTTACTCAACAAGAAATGTTTAATAAAACTAGTTACTCTTTGTCCTTCAATTTTGGTGGCCACAACCATCAAGCTCTGTTCAAAAGAAGCTGATACTCTGGAGTACATTTACCTGTCCTGATCAGGAGACCGTCCCCTCCTGCGTGGTGGTGACCTTTAGTGGAGGATCAAAAAAGATAAAAGTGTTATTAATGTACAACATACTTGGCAACAAAAAGCAGTCTTCCCAGCTAATAATTTATTATAGTGATATATTTGTTACTCGATTTTCAAGCCTGTCATGTTACAACTAGTGCAATGTCTAACTTTAGTACAGAATCTCTCAATATCTCACAACACATTCCTCATATATCTTGTGAGTATTGTCACAGATTATACCAGCCATTAAATCAATCTAGGTTATGTGTTAATTCTTTAATAGTTCAGTCACGGAACAAGTTCCTTTGCTGGAAAATCATTGTTCAAGCACTCATGAAGATTCAATCACTGAAAACAGATTTCTACATGTAAATAACAATAGCACAGCATTTATTGTTAAAATAGAAAAAAATAAACATCTGAGAACTTTGAAAGGTCCTTTGAATCTCAACAGTTAAAACCTTGCTAATAATAACTATTATTACAAGCAATTGAACTATGTTAACCACTACCTGCAGATGCTAAAGCAGAAGAGGAAAACTGGGTTTCCTTGTTAAAGAAAGTTGATGTGTTGGATCACATGCTGAAGTGGAAAACTAAAGATGGCTGGGGAATGATGACAATCGAGGAGAGGTGTGCATGTTGTTCTCTAACAATGCACATTGATGGCTGCACTTGGGCAACATTTGAGTGATGCAGAGTGACTTTCGCGGTCCATACATATCAGTATCCGAGAGTACTAAATCGGGGTGTGGTGTTGATTTTATAAATGAAGGGAAGTCAAGTTGGTTGAAAAGGTTGTTGGCAGGTAGACGAATTTTGGAGGTCGATTGATTGGTCGTGTGTTGATGTTTTGCTGAACATCTTGAACTACTGGTAATTTTGATGGAGTTCAAAGGAGAGCTTAAACCTCAACACCTTGCTTAGCTTGCAACCATAAAAATGTGGCAAAGATGCGAGGACGAGGTATGGATGAACCTAAAGAATAACCCAAACAATTACTTTGGTGTCAAAATTAAAAGACTACGGCAACAGGATAAACACTGTCTTAACCAGTTCCAGACAGAAACAATAAAATACAAATTAACATGTCTCAATGCACTACACAACATAGTCAGTACTAGCGAATCACACAATGCAGTTAAAGTTCTAAATCTAGCCTAAAATTGCTGCTACCTCCTTGCCCTTGACTGTAAGCGCACGGAAAAATAACGGCTAATATCTTTAAAGCTAGTGCAGAACAAGTTAACCAAGTCAAAAATTGTCACTGCATTACGAAACTCAAAAATTCCTAGAAGACATGATTCAAATATTGAGAATGAAAATATACTACAGTAAAACTTGACATATCAAATTCTTAGAGCTACATGTATTATCAAGTAAAAGTGAGTCTTAGCAATAGGTAATGAGAGTCAATATTTCAACCTTGAATGAATGCAATTCATAGTCCATTTGATTCAGAAAAAATGTTACAAAAGTTGGAGACAAATTAAGATTCAAACAGCAGAAAAACCCACCTATAAGGTGATCTTGATCTGTTATCATAGCGATCATATCTGTCATCGCGTCGCCCACCACCATAGCGGTCACCACGGTAACCTCCGCCACCACCACCACCTCGGCCACGACCTCCACGATGTCGGGACATTTCTACTCTAACTTCCATTCCACAGATGGTTTTCCCGTCTAGGGCCTTGATGGCATCTTCTGCATCACGCAGATCTTCAAATTCCACAAAAGCAAAGCCAGGAGGATTACGGGCCACCCAAACATCGTGAAGTGGTCCAAATTTCTCAAACTCTTTTTCTATTTCTTCTTTTCTTCCTTCTTCTCCAAGTCCTCCAACATACACTTTGTGGTACTGACCTCTGGACATCTAAAAACAATTACAGAGAATTTTATCACATTTGCCGCCTGTAAATTCATTATGTCAAAGAGCAGTAGATCACAACTTTAGGTATCCTCCTTGGTGCATCGCTTGTATTTTGCACTCAATTAGATTTGCCTCACGGTAACCAACCTTATAATTTTTGTCACTTATCACCAAGTAATCAACAATAATTGTGCTTTTTTTCAACGATATGCTTTGTGGCTAAGTTGACAATTTCACAAGATTTCGAAAACTGGAGTCGACAGAAAATCAAGTTCAAACGCAAATCGGACAGTCTACATGTAAAACGACCCCGTGTCAGTGCAAATATGTACTGCCCATTGCTAATACCGTATCCTTTAAAAGGTTAACCTCGCCAGTAGACGATTGAACTTGTGTTTTTGTAATTCCTCTTCTCTGTTCGCAAACGACATCACTTTTCACCGAGCACGTGGACAAAGAAATGTTTAATTCGGTTTCTAAACTGGCCAATTTCCGTGAAAACAAAGCAACGCAAGGATATCAAGCTTCTTGACAAGTTACAATGTGAACTAAACGCAAATTTGTTCAATGAGCTAATTGCGTGGTCGCCCAAATAATGCGACGCCATGTTGAAATCTGCCGTGTCGAAAACTCGTTGCCTCACCAATTTAAATTATAAATCTCGACACTTGTGTCGCTTTAAATGCTACTATGAACAAAGGGGAACAAAATCGTAAGTCCACTTTACCTTAACACACAGCGTTAAATCTCGACAAAGCTTCTAAACAATTTCGATGGCACAGCGTCAAAATGAACTTGCTCGACCGAACGCGTTTTTCATGTGCTATTCCCAGGCGTGCGCGGGCTATGGAACACCCATACGAGGCAAATAAAGGCGCGGAAAGGCGGGGGAGGTGAGGGGAGAGATCGCGGCCGATTATTTTTTCGGGGCCAGGGCTCCCAAAAGGAATTTTAAATTTCTAAGTTTACATATTGATCATCGCGATGCAAAATCCTAAAAGGTAGAATACCCACCGCATCTGGTTTAAAAAGGACCCGACACTTTCTAAAATTTCCAACTTTTTGATGCTCCGCGCATAAGAGGGCGCGGCTTCTTTGGCGGTCGGCGTGTATCAAAAACCCTTTGCCGAAAAAAGAAAAGAATAACACATCCAGATTATTCCTATTTTTAATCTATAAACGGAAGCTACAGCAGCAACAACCAACGAAGTTCAGTTTAAAATGTCAAGGTCTCTATGATTTTCCCAATCAAGGTCAAGTATCTATATATCGGGTGTAAGGTAAGGCGTCTTCGAATAATCCCAGCTCGAGCCTAGTGTTTTGTTTAGGGTTTTGACGTTGATTGGACAGCTCAAAGGTGGCATTTGTTAATATTTTCTTTGCAATGTGCGACACTTATTCGGAAGCGTCGCTTAATCAGACAAGCGCCACTTATTCGAATAAAAAAACCGGTCAAAACAGGATGAAGCGGGTAGATGCCGATGCCGCGAGAGAGCGAGGACTGCAAAATACAATTCATTATAAAAAGGGTCTAAAAATTCAGACGATTTGGGCTTAACCCTCGATGGAGAGATGAAGGGCTAAGCCTAGATTACCTTGATGATTTCCATCTCTTCAAAATTACTGTCTGGCATGATACAAAAGTTATAAATCTGCAGTTTCTTCTCACTTAGCAGTAAGGATGCCTCTGATCCACAAAACGGATAATCGTGATATCCTTGGACTCAGGGGAAAGCTCATCTGTATTCTACAAACTCAGGCACGTACAATAACGTCAGAGTTAGGGCTAGAGACAAAAGAAAATTCTCTTTATCTTATAAAATCTTGTTCTTAGGCCATCGTAGCTTGATTAAGAATATAACACAGACAGAAAAACAGAAAAAGAGAACATTTCAAGGCCCCCGCTAAAAATGACCATTCATCAGCCATTGCTGATCATGTGAAAACTTCTGGTCACAACATAAAATGGGACCATTTTGACATTTTAGCGTCCGGCAAAATTGAGTTTCATTGCAAAATTAAAGAGACTCTGTTCATTTAAGAGCTAAAGCCTTCAATAATGTCAATGTCAGTAGTGAGAAGTTGTTGCTTTATCAGCTGTTACTCCTCATGATATACTGTCTAGACAGGTTAACGTATTGCTGCAGATCATGAATATTTTTCTCAGTCTAGGTTCCAGACCTCTCCTTTTTACGATATATATAGAGTTTTCCAAAAATTATACCGATCACTTTTGAAAATGTATGTAGACTAGCATACCAAACGTCAAGTTCTGTATTCAAATGCGTTGGAATACAATGTTTATCACCACTGTTTGTGTTATATTCTTAAAATTCTCTTTATTCTGCCCTTTCACAATACTCCCCCAGTCTCCAACTACAACCTGATGAGGCCTCCTTGGGTGGGATGGAGGCCTCCCGCTTCTGAGCAGGGATAAACTAAGTGACGAGATAAATCCACATTCCAATACTTAGAAAAGTTTTTATCAATATTATGACATATGTAACGTTGTATTGGCAACAGTTTTAAAAAAATAAGTTGTAGATATTTCCTTTTCAAAGGCAAGGCTAGGGTGTTCGCTGGAAAGATATTTTGAAAATCCCGTGCTTTAAAACAACCAATCAAATACTCGCAATCTGGTGCGTGACTTTGAAAATTTAAAATTCAAATTAACACGCGAAGAAGCATTTGCCACGTTGCTCTCAGTTCGGCCGCATGTTTAATTTGTCGTTTTTGCTAAAAATTTCAAAAGTTGCAGAAGTACGAAAAAAGAGTTTAAACTTTCCTTTTGGGCACATTTTCCTTGACGAGCTCTGTGTTACCAAGAAACTCACCGCCTTCCCTCGTTCGGCCTGCAAAAGGAGTGGACTTCTCTTCAAAGTAAACCCTTTCAAACACGTGNTTACAATACCTTGTTGGTGACAAGTCGCTTAGAAACGCCGTGGGCTACGAGATCGGCTTCGTCCCCCTCTTGACTGCCACCTTCAGAAAAAAAAATACACATAAGGTAAGAGAAAATGTCAACAGTCAATATTACATTTTGAAAATTCTTCTGCATCATACATTTAATTATCAATGCACTACATCTGGTGAAATGAAAAAGAGAGTAGCTCTGAACTCTTGTAGCAAAATATTGTTACACTGTAATTACCTGTAATCAAACTGGCTGCACAATTTACTCAACAAGAAATGTTTAATAAAACTAGTTACTCTTTGTCCTTCAATTTTGGTGGCCACAACCATCAAGCTCTGTTCAAAAGAAGCTGATACTCTGGAGTACATTTACCTGTCCTGATCAGGAGACCGTCCCCTCCTGCGTGGTGGTGACCTTTAGTGGAGGATCAAAAAAGATAAAAGTGTTATTAATGTACAACATACTTGGCAACAAAAAGCAGTCTTCCCAGCTAATAATTTATTATAGTGATATATTTGTTACTCGATTTTCAAGCCTGTCATGTTACAACTAGTGCAATGTCTAACTTTAGTACAGAATCTCTCAATATCTCACAACACATTCCTCATATATCTTGTGAGTATTGTCACAGATTATACCAGCCATTAAATCAATCTAGGTTATGTGTTAATTCTTTAATAGTTCAGTCACGGAACAAGTTCCTTTGCTGGAAAATCATTGTTCAAGCACTCATGAAGATTCAATCACTGAAAACAGATTTCTACATGTAAATAACAATAGCACAGCATTTATTGTTAAAATAGAAAAAAATAAACATCTGAGAACTTTGAAAGGTCCTTTGAATCTCAACAGTTAAAACCTTGCTAATAATAACTATTATTACAAGCAATTGAACTATGTTAACCACTACCTGCAGATGCTAAAGCAGAAGAGGAAAACTGGGTTTCCTTGTTAAAGAAAGTTGATGTGTTGGATCACATGCTGAAGTGGAAAACTAAAGATGGCTGGGGAATGATGACAATCGAGGAGAGGTGTGCATGTTGTTCTCTAACAATGCACATTGATGGCTGCACTTGGGCAACATTTGAGTGATGCAGAGTGACTTTCGCGGTCCATACATATCAGTATCCGAGAGTACTAAATCGGGGTGTGGTGTTGATTTTATAAATGAAGGGAAGTCAAGTTGGTTGAAAAGGTTGTTGGCAGGTAGACGAATTTTGGAGGTCGATTGATTGGTCGTGTGTTGATGTTTTGCTGAACATCTTGAACTACTGGTAATTTTGATGGAGTTCAAAGGAGAGCTTAAACCTCAACACCTTGCTTAGCTTGCAACCATAAAAATGTGGCAAAGATGCGAGGACGAGGTATGGATGAACCTAAAGAATAACCCAAACAATTACTTTGGTGTCAAAATTAAAAGACTACGGCAACAGGATAAACACTGTCTTAACCAGTTCCAGACAGAAACAATAAAATACAAATTAACATGTCTCAATGCACTACACAACATAGTCAGTACTAGCGAATCACACAATGCAGTTAAAGTTCTAAATCTAGCCTAAAATTGCTGCTACCTCCTTGCCCTTGACTGTAAGCGCACGGAAAAATAACGGCTAATATCTTTAAAGCTAGTGCAGAACAAGTTAACCAAGTCAAAAATTGTCACTGCATTACGAAACTCAAAAATTCCTAGAAGACATGATTCAAATATTGAGAATGAAAATATACTACAGTAAAACTTGACATATCAAATTCTTAGAGCTACATGTATTATCAAGTAAAAGTGAGTCTTAGCAATAGGTAATGAGAGTCAATATTTCAACCTTGAATGAATGCAATTCATAGTCCATTTGATTCAGAAAAAATGTTACAAAAGTTGGAGACAAATTAAGATTCAAACAGCAGAAAAACCCACCTATAAGGTGATCTTGATCTGTTATCATAGCGATCATATCTGTCATCGCGTCGCCCACCACCATAGCGGTCACCACGGTAACCTCCGCCACCACCACCACCTCGGCCACGACCTCCACGATGTCGGGACATTTCTACTCTAACTTCCATTCCACAGATGGTTTTCCCGTCTAGGGCCTTGATGGCATCTTCTGCATCACGCAGATCTTCAAATTCCACAAAAGCAAAGCCAGGAGGATTACGGGCCACCCAAACATCGTGAAGTGGTCCAAATTTCTCAAACTCTTTTTCTATTTCTTCTTTTCTTCCTTCTTCTCCAAGTCCTCCAACATACACTTTGTGGTACTGACCTCTGGACATCTAAAAACAATTACAGAGAATTTTATCACATTTGCCGCCTGTAAATTCATTATGTCAAAGAGCAGTAGATCACAACTTTAGGTATCCTCCTTGGTGCATCGCTTGTATTTTGCACTCAATTAGATTTGCCTCACGGTAACCAACCTTATAATTTTTGTCACTTATCACCAAGTAATCAACAATAATTGTGCTTTTTTTCAACGATATGCTTTGTGGCTAAGTTGACAATTTCACAAGATTTCGAAAACTGGAGTCGACAGAAAATCAAGTTCAAACGCAAATCGGACAGTCTACATGTAAAACGACCCCGTGTCAGTGCAAATATGTACTGCCCATTGCTAATACCGTATCCTTTAAAAGGTTAACCTCGCCAGTAGACGATTGAACTTGTGTTTTTGTAATTCCTCTTCTCTGTTCGCAAACGACATCACTTTTCACCGAGCACGTGGACAAAGAAATGTTTAATTCGGTTTCTAAACTGGCCAATTTCCGTGAAAACAAAGCAACGCAAGGATATCAAGCTTCTTGACAAGTTACAATGTGAACTAAACGCAAATTTGTTCAATGAGCTAATTGCGTGGTCGCCCAAATAATGCGACGCCATGTTGAAATCTGCCGTGTCGAAAACTCGTTGCCTCACCAATTTAAATTATAAATCTCGACACTTGTGTCGCTTTAAATGCTACTATGAACAAAGGGGAACAAAATCGTAAGTCCACTTTACCTTAACACACAGCGTTAAATCTCGACAAAGCTTCTAAACAATTTCGATGGCACAGCGTCAAAATGAACTTGCTCGACCGAACGCGTTTTTCATGTGCTATTCCCAGGCGTGCGCGGGCTATGGAACACCCATACGAGGCAAATAAAGGCGCGGAAAGGCGGGGGAGGTGAGGGGAGAGATCGCGGCCGATTATTTTTTCGGGGCCAGGGCTCCCAAAAGGAATTTTAAATTTCTAAGTTTACATATTGATCATCGCGATGCAAAATCCTAAAAGGTAGAATACCCACCGCATCTGGTTTAAAAAGGACCCGACACTTTCTAAAATTTCCAACTTTTTGATGCTCCGCGCATAAGAGGGCGCGGCTTCTTTGGCGGTCGGCGTGTATCAAAAACCCTTTGCCGAAAAAAGAAAAGAATAACACATCCAGATTATTCCTATTTTTAATCTATAAACGGAAGCTACAGCAGCAACAACCAACGAAGTTCAGTTTAAAATGTCAAGGTCTCTATGATTTTCCCAATCAAGGTCAAGTATCTATATATCGGGTGTAAGGTAAGGCGTCTTCGAATAATCCCAGCTCGAGCCTAGTGTTTTGTTTAGGGTTTTGACGTTGATTGGACAGCTCAAAGGTGGCATTTGTTAATATTTTCTTTGCAATGTGCGACACTTATTCGGAAGCGTCGCTTAATCAGACAAGCGCCACTTATTCGAATAAAAAAACCGGTCAAAACAGGATGAAGCGGGTAGATGCCGATGCCGCGAGAGAGCGAGGACTGCAAAATACAATTCATTATAAAAAGGGTCTAAAAATTCAGACGATTTGGGCTTAACCCTCGATGGAGAGATGAAGGGCTAAGCCTAGATTACCTTGATGATTTCCATCTCTTCAAAATTACTGTCTGGCATGATACAAAAGTTATAAATCTGCAGTTTCTTCTCACTTAGCAGTAAGGATGCCTCTGATCCACAAAACGGATAATCGTGATATCCTTGGACTCAGGGGAAAGCTCATCTGTATTCTACAAACTCAGGCACGTACAATAACGTCAGAGTTAGGGCTAGAGACAAAAGAAAATTCTCTTTATCTTATAAAATCTTGTTCTTAGGCCATCGTAGCTTGATTAAGAATATAACACAGACAGAAAAACAGAAAAAGAGAACATTTCAAGGCCCCCGCTAAAAATGACCATTCATCAGCCATTGCTGATCATGTGAAAACTTCTGGTCACAACATAAAATGGGACCATTTTGACATTTTAGCGTCCGGCAAAATTGAGTTTCATTGCAAAATTAAAGAGACTCTGTTCATTTAAGAGCTAAAGCCTTCAATAATGTCAATGTCAGTAGTGAGAAGTTGTTGCTTTATCAGCTGTTACTCCTCATGATATACTGTCTAGACAGGTTAACGTATTGCTGCAGATCATGAATATTTTTCTCAGTCTAGGTTCCAGACCTCTCCTTTTTACGATATATATAGAGTTTTCCAAAAATTATACCGATCACTTTTGAAAATGTATGTAGACTAGCATACCAAACGTCAAGTTCTGTATTCAAATGCGTTGGAATACAATGTTTATCACCACTGTTTGTGTTATATTCTTAAAATTCTCTTTATTCTGCCCTTTCACAATACTCCCCCAGTCTCCAACTACAACCTGATGAGGCCTCCTTGGGTGGGATGGAGGCCTTCCGCTTCTGAGCAGGGATAAACTAAGTGACGAGATAAATCCACATTCCAATACTTAGAAAAGTTTTTATCAATATTATGACATATGTAACGTTGTATTGGCAACAGTTTTAAAAAAATAAGTTGTAGATATTTCCTTTTCAAAGGCAAGGCTAGGGTGTTCGCTGGAAAGATATTTTGAAAATCCCGTGCTTTAAAACAACCAATCAAATACTCGCAATCTGGTGCGTGACTTTGAAAATTTAAAATTCAAATTAACACGCGAAGAAGCATTTGCCACGTTGCTCTCAGTTCGGCCGCATGTTTAATTTGTCGTTTTTGCTAAAAATTTCAAAAGTTGCAGAAGTACGAAAAAAGAGTTTAAACTTTCCTTTTGGGCACATTTTCCTTGACGAGCTCTGTGTTACCAAGAAACTCACCGCCTTCCCTCGTTCGGCCTGCAAAAGGAGTGGACTTCTCTTCAAAGTAAACCCTTTCAAACACGTGCTTTTATAAAACAAAGATGTCATAGAATATTTCCAGCAAATGCGGGTTTTTAACTCTTTTGGCAAGGTAGGAACTGTTCAGAGAATTTATTAAAGTAGTACAAAAATTATTAGTTGAGCAGTAATAATGTTTGCCGCGCTGAGAAAGTGGCTATAATTTCGTCAGCGTAAGGCGATTATTTATAATCCGCCGTATTTACTAAATTCCAAGTTATACTTGAATTTGCCATTTTACTTAAAATAGCACACCTAAATTGTCTCCTAGTTTTGTCGCACTTCTCTTCAGTCTCTTGAAAGTTAATTGCACGCAGCTAAGCCAATCTCTGTCTTGTCTAAAAAGCGGTAGTTTATTCTTGTTTTCGGATTTGTTTCACTTAATATTACATTTTTTCCACGCGCAGTCGGTCAACTAGCGTTAAAATAAGTTTTAGTTAAATCGTCCTTTAATTTTTGTTTGCTGCAGGATTTGGTTGTTTAAGTTTTTAGTATTTACGTGAATAACGCTAAGTAAAATGGCGACTTAAAGTTACATATGTATTATTCGGAAAACGAGTAACGGTTTAAAGAGCCTTTTGAGAAAGTTTAGATAATGGAGATAAATTAATTTTTTTCTAATTTTTACAGAATGAGTGCGAACAAGTGACAAGATATCAGAGGGTCACATAGGACAAGATATTACTTCAGGTAACATCCAGTTTCGATTCCCTCGCTGCTTTGCTATATTATATATATCTGATAATTAGGTGGAGTTTGAAATTGAAATGACCAAACTCGATCTGCGTTTTTTTAGACCTACGGAGTTCACACTAGCAACACTGACGACATAAACATCATGACAAAAGAAGGATGTTCTGTCGTTATGTTTGCAGTGTGAACATCCTGACATAATTACATAATAGCAATATAACAGCGTGAACATAACGACACAAGATATGAAGATTCGAACCCATGACCTCTGTAATACCGGTGCAGTGCTCTACTAACTGAGCTTTCAAGCCAACTGAGAGCTAGCCACATTGTGGCCAGCTCCCATGTAGCTCCCAGCTGCCACAACGACTCAAGGAAAAAAACTGACGATCTTTTAATTTCTTTATAACTTTATGTCGATGTTCACATTACCGACATAAGTGATTATGTCGTTATGTCACTGATAATTAATTTTATAAGTCGTTATGTTGCTAGTGGCGAATGCCATATTCCTAGGACTCGAGAGAAAAACTGAATTGATCCTCGAAAATATGTCGTTTCTCAGAACAAAGCGTCATCTGTAGAAGCAAGAGTAAAGTTTAACTTTTTCATAGTCATTGCCGTCGAGGCAACTTATACTCGGTCTAATGCACGCAGGGTTTTAGCAAACTTGGATGATGGTGAAGTTACGACTACAAATAATTCGTAACACAAGTTTTTTTTCTTTTTACAGAATAAACCGACGAACGATAGTGACAGAGTTTTCAGATGATCTCATCAGTATGACAAGATATTTACTTCAGGTAACATCCAGCTCTTAACTCAGTTTCCTCTACGTACAGTTTTGTTACTAAGCTTGTGTATCTAAAAATTCGGAGGAATTTAGAAAACCACGGCTAGTTCAGGGACGAA